TCCACATCTGCGCGGATACCCGGATGCAAAGTGACCATCTCTAAAAAATACCCCGAAAAAAAGTAAAAAGAAAAAGAGAAAAATTCTAGGATTTTGTACAACGATTTAACAAGACTGTTTTTTTTTCTCCAAATTTTCAGGATCATTCTTTGGAACTGATTTTCTACAGTGTAACCGGACTAGATAAATTTCACAGGTGATTGGTTTGACCTCTAGACTCGAATGTATAAAGGGTTCCATTTTTTCTGTCAAGGGGCTGTACCTGAGTGGAGGAATGATCTGTAGTCAGCTTGGACATGATGTTGTACCTATCAAAGTATACACTTGGGATGAGGAACAAGTTATAACCCCTTTCAATTTTGATAATTTTACTGGAGTGGGAGCCAGAGTTGTTGCGATCAGGGTGGGTTGGCCGGTAGATTTTGCTTCCTCATCATGATGCTGGACTCGTACAGGGTTAAATGAGGTATGTACAAGGCTATGCCCTCTCAGATTCTTCCCTGAATTGCAACTCAAAAAAAAAGGGTGGACCTGGGTCCACCCAATCAAAATCGGATGTGGGCGTTGGGATTGCCTTGACACCCCGCCCAAACACCCGGTGTGAGAACTCCTTTGGGATGGATGGCAGTCCTGTGAGGGGGAAGTAGCAGTTATAATATTTCAGGTATGTATGAATTTATTACAACTGTTACGGGTGGTTTGAAAGACCTGCCCCTCTAATGTACTACACTAGTATTCTGACAACAAATTATAGGGACTCGGAAAAACGACTCCCTTTTTTTTGCCAACGACTCCCAACGACCTTCAGCAGACGTCCGTTGGGAGTCGTCTTCTAAAGTGTGGGCGGATTTTGGGAGTCGTCCGCCCAATTTCAATTTCATTTTTTATTTTATATATATATTTTTTTTTTGGGAGTCGACTCCCCAAACCACCCCTCATGTATGAGGGGGTTTGGGAGTCGCTCCCACTTGACCAGAAGGAACCCCTTCCGGTCAGTGAGGAAGCTAAACCTCATCGACCGGAAGGGATTCCTTCCGGTCAATGAGGAAGATATCCTTCATCAACCGGAAGGGATCCCTTCTGGTTGATGAGGAAGATTGAACTCATCAACCAGAAGGAATCCCTTCCGGTTGATGAGGTTTAGCTTCCTCATTGACCGAAGGAGAGTCCTTCCGGTCGATGAGGAAGCTATACCTCATCAACCGGAAGGGATTCCTTCCTGTTGATGAGGTTTAGCCTCCTCATCGACTGGAAGGAACCCCTTCCAATCGATGAGGAAGCTATACCTCATCGACAGGAAGGAATCCCTTCCAGTCGATAAGGTTGGGGGGGTTGCAGCGAGGGCTTCATCGACCGGAAGGACTCTCCTCCGGTCGATGAGGAAGCTACACCTCATTGACCGGAAGGGGTTCCTTCCGGTCAAGTGGGGAGGGAGCAACTCCCAAACCCACTCATACATGAGGGGTGGTTTGGGCAGTCGACTCCCAAAAAAAAATAAAAAAAATAACAATGAAATTGGGCGGACGACTCCCAGAATCCGCCCACACTTTAGAAGACGACTCCCAACGGACGTCCGCTGACGGTCGTTGGGAGTCGTTGGCGAAAAAACGGGAGTTGTTTTTCCGAGTCCCATTGATTTTATTGTTGTGGCAAAAACCTATGATAGAGAAAAACTTTATGTAGTAGTCTAGATCAACTGATATGGAGGACATGCAATAAAACAAGCTACTCAAAGAACCTGATTAAGATCACAGGTGTTGGTGAAGGGGGGTGATGAACACCAGCTGGCCAGGCTGTGTGATGAGGGGGGGGGATCAAAATTGGGGGATGACGGGCCTCCTTATATAGTAAATTGTGAGGGATTTTGGCTAGTGGGGAAGTCCTATGAGGGATTTATGCTGGTGTGAATTCTCCTTTGAGGGATTTTTGCTGCTTGGAAACTTCTATTGAGGGGTTTTTGCTGCATGGAAACTTCTATTGAGGGGTTTTTGCTGCATGGAAACTTCTATTGAGCCATTTTTGCTAGTGTGGTGTGAAAACACGTGTGATCCAAAGCATGTGATAGGTGATGATGTCATGTGACAATACGTGTGATCCAAGGCACGTGATCATACATGCGGCTAAGCATGTGATCATATGTATTCCTTTACTTTAAAAGTTATAACTATGCACTCATATAAATCTACACTATGTACTACCCAGGACAACTATACTATGCTGCAATGAAAAAAAAAGTTTTATCCAAATAACTTTTGACTGAGTGGAGTTAGCCTAGTGGTTCCAGTGAGTGACTATGGGTTAAATATCCTGTAGAATCTATTGAAGTAATAATAAAACCAA